ATACCGAACGATTGGAAAACCATTGGTTTTTTAGGGTTCGGAAAGCGCGCGCGGGTAGACATTTAGTTTTTTTCTTGCTGGTTTTCCTTCTGAGGAATTATGGTACGATTCGTGTGGTTTCATGGAACTCGGTCTTGACAGTGTTGAAACCACAATGTGTTTGGAAGGATTTCGACATGCGCGCGCGGCGGCCGCGCTCATGTGCCCCGCATGGATTTTTTTACAAAGGATTGCGGCCCTGGCAGGCGCACGACCGATGTTGAAGGCGTTCGACGCGCACGCATCAATTGCTCGCGTGACAGAAATGTTGAACAACCGTTGGTTTTTAGGATTCGGAAAGCGCACGCGGGTAGAACTTTGGATTGTTGTGCAGATTGTGTTCGAGGATGTATGGTACGATTCGTGTGATTTCACGAAGCTCGGTCTTGAACATGTTGAAAACAACATGTGTTTGGATGCGTTTCGACCTGCGCGCGCGGCAGCCGCGCGCATGTGCCCCGCATGGTTTGGTTTACAAAAAATTGTGGCCCTGGCAGGCGCGCGACCGTTGTTGAATGAGATCGACGTGCGCGCAAAAATTGCCCAAGAAGCCCGACTTGACAAGACCGTTGAACAAAAACATGGTTTTTGAAGGATCCGGCAAGAGCGCGCGGGCAGATTTTTCAGAATCTGAAGGTTATTAAATAATTGTTTTTGTTGTTTCTCTCAGAAGTTCTCTTGAAGCGGGATGTTGAAATTGTTGAAAACACAATGTGTTTGGAAGGGATTCGACCTGCGTGCGCAGCGGCTGCGCGCGTGCGCCCCGCATGGTATTTTTTTACCAAGGTTCGCGAAAAAGCGTTATGTTAGAACCAAACATGTCACCGTATATGGTTTTTTGCAAAGGAACCGGGGGGGCACCGATACCGGCCTGGCTAGGATAGTACGAATTCACAAGTGGGGTGGATGGTGGGTCAGAGTCATGTGTGCTTTGCATAGGCTCCCCCGGAATCGATAAGTCCAGGGGGGGAAGGTAGAAGAACCTTTTTTTAAGAACGGAGAATCTATGCTGTGCACGCAATGTGGCGCAAGCATCCCACCCACCCATGCGTATTTTGGCGGGCAAAACCTCCCTGAGGCAACGCCTGGAGACCCGATGAGTCCCCGAGCGCAAGGCCCGCGCCGCGCAGAAGAAACTCATGCTGCAGGGCATCCTGCGCAGATCCTGGAAGCTGCAAAACGTCCCCTGGATGGGGGTCCCTGCGAGCCTCCTGCTGCAATCCTCCGGAGCTCCAGCAAGGCGCCCGCGAAGCTCCCGAGATGGTCGAGGCCAGCTCCCGTCTGGCTCGGGGTACGGTCTGACGAAATCCTGGAGTGCGAACACTGTTTTCGGAATGCGGGAACGAACGAGGTCTTCGGTCCGGACAGATTGGACCCCCGCGAAGCCACGGAGACAGTCCAGGACGTTGGTCGAACAAACGTCCGGTGAAGCCCCCCCAGAGGCCTTCTTGGAAGCCCCCGGGAAGCCACCGAAGAGAGACGAAGGATGAATGGAGAGAAGGAGAACAGGGACCAAAGAGAGGACGATCAGGACGGATAAAGAAATAATGGAGGACGGCAAAAGAGAGAAAGAGAGAGAGAGAGAACAAAAAGAGAGAGAGAGAGAGAAAGAGAGAGACGGAGAGAGAGAGAGAGAGAGAGAGCTTGAGAAAGAGGGTGTCCCACGCATAGTATTATGAGACATGAATGGTGACTCTGGTACGTGCGCGAGGGCGTTCGAAAGAAGCGCGACATGCCTGCGCAAAGGTCCCCTTGGACAGGAATGTTCAAAAAACGATGCCCTATGAATTCGCAACATCACCTGGAATGACATGTTGGACAACTTTTGTTGCACAAACATTGTTTTTTTCAAACCATCCGTCACGGTTTGAATAGACAGCGCCCCGCGTTCCTCTCTTCCTCCTCCTCCTCCTCCTCTCATCCTCCTCCTCCCCCTCCTCCTGCTCCTCCTCCTCCTCCTCCTCCTCCTCCCCCTCCTCCTCTTCCTCCCTCCTCCAATCCCTGCCTGTGCTCTTCGCATGTCATCATCATCATCATCATCATCACCATCACCATCACCATCACCATCACCATCACCATCACCACCATCACCATCACCATCACCATCATCATCATCATCATCATCATCATCATCATCATCATCATCATCATCATTATCACAACCACCATAACTATCAGCATCATCAACATCATCTTCATCATCCATCTTCTTCTGATAATGATTGCTATTATTATCCAGATCATCATCATTACCATCATCATCAACGTCATCAGCATCACCATCAACATCACCATCACCATCACCATCACCATCATCATCACCACCAACATCATCACCATCATCACCACCATCATCATCATCGTCACCGTCATCGCTATCATCAACTCAGCATCAGCATCAGCATCAGCATCAGCATCAGCATCATCATCAGAATCATCATCATCATGGCCATCATCATCACCATCATCGTCATCACTCCCGTTTCGGCACACGCCTCACACGTTCTGTGGAGCCACAGGGAACTCCACCGAAAGTACAGGTGGCGCTGCCCGCATGTGGGCGCCACTCCCGTTTCGGCACGCCCCTCACACGTTTCGTGGCTCCACAAGGAGCTCCACCGAAGGTCTCTGTGACGCCACCCGCATGTGGGCGTCACCCCTGTTTCGGCACATCGCTCACACGTTTCGTGGCCTTCTGGCACGCCCCTGACACGCTTCGTGGCCTCATAGGGAGCTGCACCTAAGGTCCAAGTGGCGCCGCCAGCATGGGGGCGTCACTCCCGGCACACCCCTCACACATTCTGGGGCTCCACAGGGAGCTCTATCTGAGGCCCCAGCTGCGCATCCTGAATGTGGGAGCCACGCCCGTTTCGGTGCACCCCTCACACGTTTCGTGGTTTCCCCCATAGAGAGCTCCGCCTAAAAGTCCAGGTGGCGCCGCCCGCATGTGGGCGCCACCCCCGTTTCGCCACACCCCTCACACGATGTGTGGCCCCACAGGGAGCTCCGCCGAAGGACCAGGTGGCGCCGCCCTCATTGGGCGCCACTACCTTTTCTGCACACCTCTCTCACGTTTCGTGCCCCTACAAGGAGCTCCGCCTAAGGTCCAGGTGGCCCCGCCGCCCCGCAAGGAGCTCCGCCTGAGGTCCAGGTGGCGCCGCCCGAATGTGGGCGCCACTCTGGTTTCGGCACGCCCCTCACACGTTTCGTGGCCCTACAGGGAGCTCCGCCGAAGGACCAAGTGGCGCAGCCCGCATGTGCGCGTCACCCCCGTTTCAGCACACACCTCACATGGTTCGTGGCTTCACAAGGAGCTCCGCCTAGGGTCCCAATTGCGCTGCCCGCATGTGGGCGCCACCACCGTTTCGGCACGCCCCTCACACGTTTCGTGGCCCCACAGGGAGCTCCGCCTAAGGTCGAAAGTTGCGCCGCCCGCATGCGGGCGACACCCCCGTTTCGGCACACATCTCACACGTTTCGTGCCCCTCAGGGAGCTCCACCCAAGGGCCCAGTGGGGCGGTTTGCATGTGGGCGACACGGTTCGTGGCTTCACAGTGAGCTCCACCCAAGGCTCCAGTGGCGCAGCCCGCATGTGGAAGACCCCGCCCGTTTCAGCACACCACACACATACTTCGTGGCTCCACAGGGAGCTCCACCGAATGCCTGGCAACAAGACCCGCATGCGGGCGTTGCCCCGTAGGGAGATACACCTCAGACGGTACTCTCAATTGCGGTACTCACAACCGCATATGGTTTGGTTCCTTGGCCAAGCGAATGATGTTGCACGCGCGCAAGTGGCCCGCGTGGTATTATTGGATTGGGATTCCAGTGCTGGGCGCATGCTAAATCAATGCGGCTGCACCGCGTGGCGAGATGAGATGGTAGGTTTTCCATGAGGTTGTTCAAATCATGTGCCTCTCGTAAATTTCAGAACGTGCTCGCTGTGCAGAAACTTCGCACCATTTTGGTTGAAACTCAATGGATGTTCAATGGTGTTGTGTTGAAGCTCTTGTACACATGATACGTTTTACTTGAATTTAACATGAGTGCGCGCATGCACTTTGAGGTACTTCTGCACGGAATTCTTGGAGCATGATCTTTGCAGGTGAAGAAATGTGCGCGCATGGTGTTCTTTGACACGGGTGGCGGGAGGGAGACGGATACCGGCTTAGCTGGGATGGTATGGTTTCAACATGGAAAATTCACGAGCGGGCATAAGCATTTGCAATTTGCAATACGCGAGGCCAGACGGAGAAGTCTGGTCTCGGTGAGGTGGTGGAGCCTGCTCTTTTTTAGCACAAGAAGAGGATACTAAACATAGAGAATCGATGAGGTGCACTCGATGTTGTGCACCCTATGTGGTGCAACCTATATGGTGCAACTATGTTGTACAGTCCATGTGGAGCAAGCCATGCGGAGCAATCTATGTTGTGCAAGCTATGTGGTGCAGTCTACGTGGTGCAGTCAATGAGGTACAGTCTTCGTGGTGCAATATATGCGGTGCAATCTGTGCTGTGCACTCTAGGGCGGAAGCGATGCGGCGACGGGGCGGCGGCGGCGACACCACAGCCGCCAGACCGCCACACCAGCCCAGACGGTTCCTTAGAGCAGTCGGAGCAACCCGTAAGTGCACGCACTGCTTGGGGAATGAACTTTGACAGGTCCGCGCAGATTTCTTAGATCGGCGCTGGGCCCCCGCCAGGGGCGGGCCCCCCTTCCGGGGCGCGCGGACAGTGCCAGGGGCGGCGCTGGAGGCGCCGCCAAGGGGGCCCCAACGCCGACCTAAGAAACTCGCGCGGGGCTCTCCAGACCTCTCCGCTACTTTCTGGACCTTTCCTATGCTGCGTTCTTTCCCGAATCGCAAGAGAATGCGGCCGTGGCGACGAGGGCCGCCCGGGAGGCCCAAAAAGGAGAAAACGCGGGAAAGGCAGCGGCATCGCTACCTTTTCCTCCGTGAAGTCCTGGGACCCTGTGAAGATGATGTCCCCGACGGAGCACATGCAGAAGACGAAGCCCGTGTGCCCAGCGAGCACGTGGACACATGGGCTCTCGGGCCCGCCGGCCGCCGCCGCCGCCGCGGGTGGGCTGGCGGCGCTGCTGCAGCCCCAGACATCCTCCGAACAAGTTGTTTTCAAAATCCACGGCCCGAGAGCTCCACCCGCACGTCCTCTCGTTGTGAAAATGTCGCGACGGAAAATTGTTGCCCCTTTTCGGCCTCTGGGGGCCAGGACCCCGGGACCATCAAGAACGACTCAGGATTCATGGCTGGTCCCAGGGAATCGGTGGAGACCTCTGGGGGTCCGCCCGCCCAGAGCTGCCCTGAGATGCTGGCGTCGCACTGTGTCGCAGCGGACGATTTTGCCTGATTCCGAGCCCTGGGGCCATGACAGATCGATCCAGCTTGAAAAATGCTGCAGGAAGATGGGGTCCAGGACTTTCTGAGGTCGGAGCGATGGTAATCGTTTCGTGACGTGGGATCTCGGGGTATCTCCCGACCCCTTTCCCGGTTTCCGCCCCGGAGCCCTTTCTGACGGCTCTGGGGCCCGAACTTGGCGGCGCGCATAAGGGGGTAGGGGGAGGGGGGGAGGCTTCTTAGAAGGAGACGGCCTCTTAGAAGGCGCCGGCCCTACATCTAGAGACAAAGCCCGCTCCTTCTAGAAGCAGCCTCCTTCTAAGAAGCCTCCCCCCTTCCCCTGCCCTACCCCCGTCTGCGCGTGGCCAAGTGTGGATTGTTCAAAATGGCGGCCCCTGGAGGTATCGACCCATGCCCCAGGACCGGCTTCTCACCCCGAGTCGTTCCTCCACGGCCCCGAGGCCTGGTGGGGGGCCCTCAGAGGCCTGAACTAGCGACAAACCTGCCGCCATGCTCTCATGACCCGTCCCCCCTCCATGTGTCCCCGACCCCCCCGGGGTTAGGTCGGGCATGTCCTCCTGCAGGCTGATTTTTGACAAACAAATAAAAGGACAATCCAAAAACACACATTCAAAAAAATGTTCAAACAAAGTCAAAACATCGTCCCCAGACAATTTGTTTTCAAAGATTTTGGAATATTCCTCCTGTGGAGGGACAGGCCCGACTGAACCCTGGGGGGGCCCGAACGCGGCCCCGCGGAGGCCGAGAAGCGGAGGGAGCGCGCGTCGATCGGCAACATCAGATCGTCGGAGGTCTGGGACCGCCGCCGGACGCGGGCGCCTCGCGGTCCCGCGGCTGCCAGGCGGTGCCCCGCGGGGCCTGGGCGGGGGACGCCCTCGAGGCGGGCGAGCGCTCCTGCGAGGAGCAGTCCCACCAGCGCTTAGCCGCCCCGATGCGCAACACGCAACCCGTAGCGGGCGCACACGGAGCTCATCACGCAGACTGAAAACGTAGATCTGGCGCGATGCATTCGCCCAAACGCGGACCAACACATGCCGAGCCAACGCAGCGTGTTGACACGGACGTCTTGAACATGGTACGTGTTGCGTTTCAGCACAGGCGTATCAGGGCAGCTAAGCACCAGCCCCTAGGGCGTGAGTGGTTCAGTGGGTCTCCTCTTCCAACCCCCCTGATTCCGCTCCGGGGAGGGGCTTCACTCCTCCCCCTGCCCCCTCCCCCGTGCTCCGTCCCCTCCTACCATTCCTGCGAGGGGCAGACGACGACATGCACATCGTTTCCCGGAGGCCCGCGCGAAATTCTTGGATCGGCGCTGGGCACCCCGCCCCTGGCGCGTGGAGCGCACCAGGGGCGGCGCCCGAGGCGCCGCCAGGGGGGCCCGGGGCCGATCCAAGAAATCCGCGCGGACCTCCGAGAAATTGTGTTCATGCGGCTTTTGTTCCTCGACCAGGCGGCGACATCCGAACCCTAATCCCGCCAACCATCGATCCTCCTGAATCGATGGGAGGCGGGGGTAGGGTTCGGGTTTCGCCACGTGTTCGACGAATGCCGAGCCCTATCCCCGCCGCCCATCGAATTGCCTGAATCGTTGAGCGGCGAGGGTCGCTTCAACTTCGGCTCGAAATTGGTCCTCGGGCCCCTGCCAGGGTCCATGCGCACCAGCTCTCCCAGCTGCGCCCAGCTGTGGCGTCGAGGAGGGCCCCCCCGAAGGCCAAAAAGCCTCGCACCTCGTTCCTCGAGGCTCGAACCTCGAGCCGCCACCCCCTCGAGTTGCCCGAACCGTTGATCCGCGAGGAAGACGACGGCGACGACGCCGACGACGGCGACGACGCCGACGACGGCACCGACGCCGACGCCGACGCCGACGACGACGCCGACGATCGGCGGATGAGAGTGGAGGAGGAGGAGGAGGAGGAGGAGGAGGAGGAGGAGGAGGAGGAGGAGGAGGAGGGAGGGGGGAGGAGGAGGAGGAGGAGGAGGAGGCGGAGGAGGAGGAGGGGAGAGGAGGGGGGAGGATGAGGATGTGGATGAGGATGAGGATGAGGATGGGGACGAGGACGAGGACGAGGATGTGGATGAGTGGAGGAGGA